GATTCACCATCATGGAGATACCAGGTCAAATTGCGCAGAGTAGCTTGCACAGAGTCACCAGCATGGAGATACCAGCATGGAGTTACTCGCGAAGAGTTACTAGCACAGAGCAGCATGGAGATACTTGCACAGAGTCACCAGCATGGAGATACTTGGAGATACCAGCATGGAGTTACTCGCGAAGAGTTACTAGCACAGAGCAGCATGGAGATACTTGCACAGAGTCACCAGCATGGAGATACTTGCGCAGAGGCACCAGCATAGAGTCACCAGCATAGAGTTACTTGCGCAGAGCCAAGTGCAAAGAGCCAAGCGCATAGGGCCAAGTGCTCAGAGCGAAGTGTGAAGAGCGAGGTGCAAGGAGCCAAGTGCACAGAGCTAAGTGCACAGAGCCAAGAGCAAAGAGCGAAGTGCATCGAGCCAGGTGCATAGAGTCAAGTGCATACTAGGTGCATAGAGCTAAGCGAAGCTAGGTGTAGAGGCTCGGCGTTAGCAGCTGTGTAAGCTAGGTTAAGTAAGTTAGGTTAAGTACTTAACGCGCGGGAAAGAAAGAGAAAGAGCTCGGTATTAAGAATCTCTTTTAAGGCGGGGGGTGGGGATGTTGCCGGCGATCGGGAATGCGACCGTGGTCGAGGTGCAAAAACTCGAGTTTTTGTTGCGCTTATTGATATTCCCGCGCGACCCTCTGCGAAAATCGTCGTGGTCGAGGTGCAAAAACTTGAGTTTTTTGGTGTTTTTTGATATTCCCGCGCGACCCTCTGCGGAGATCGGCGTGGTCGAGGTGCAAAAACTCAAGGTTGTTTTTTCGTTTTTTTGAGGTGCCCGCGCGACCCTCTGCGGAGATCGGCGTGGTCGAGGTGCAAAAACTCAGGGTTTTTTGCGTTTTTGATATTCCCGCACGACCCTCTGCGGAGATCGGCGTGGTCGAGGTGCAAGAACTCGTGGATTTCTGCGTTTTTTGATATTCCCGCGCGACCCTCTGCGGAGATCGGCGTGGTTGAGGTGCAAAAATTCAAGGTTTTTTGCGTTTTTTGATTTTCCCGCGCGACCCTCTGCGGGGATCGGCGTGGTCGAGGTGCAAAAACTCGCGGTTTTGTGCGGTTTTTGATATGCCCGCGCAACCCTTTGCGGAGATCGGCGTGGTCGAGGTGCAAAAACTCAGGGTTTTTTTGCGTTTTTGATATTCCCGCACGACCCTCTGCGGAGATCGGCGTGGTTGAGGTGCAAAAATTCAAGGATTTTTGCGTTTTTTGATTTTCCCGCGCGACCCTCTGCGGGGATCGGCGTGGTCGAGGTGCAAAAATTCGAGGTGCTTTTTTTGTGTTTTTTGATTTTCCCGCGCGACCTTCTGCGGGGATCGGCGTGGTCGAGGTGCAAAAACTCGAGGTGTTTTTTGTTTTTCGTTTTTTGCGGTGCCCGCGCGACGACCTTCTGCGGGGATCGGCGTGGTCAAGGTGCAAAAACTCAAGTTTGTTTTTGCGTTTTTGTTGCTTGCGAATTTGCGTGCGGAGCCCTTGGACAAGTTGCACAGAGCCAAGCGGCACAGAGCCAAGTTACACAGAGCCAAGTGGCACAGAGCCAAGTGGCACAGAGCCAAGTGGCACAGAGCCAAGTGGCACAGAGCCAAGTGGCACAGAGCCAAGTGGCACAGAGCCAAGTTACATAGAGCCAAGTTACATAGAGCCAAGTTACATAGAGCCAAGTGGCACAGAGCCAAGTTACATAGAGCCAAGTTGCACAGAGCCAAGTGGCACAGAGCCAAGTGGCACAAAGCCAAGATACACAGAGCCAAGTTGCACAGAGCCAAGTTACAGAGAGTCAAGTTACATAGAGTCAAGTTACATAGAGCCAAAGTTGCACGAGCCTGCTTTGCAGAAGCTGTTGCATCGATGTAAAAGGGCGTCTCCGCGGCTGGAAAAGCACATGATGGGAAACGCTTGGGGAAAAATGCTTTCGGGCCAACCGTCCTCTAGTCTTTTGTTTTGTTTGTTTTTGTTGATTGTTTGTTTGTGTTTTTGTTTGTTTGTTTGTTTGTTTGCTTGATTGATTGTTTTTTGTTTCTATTGTTTTGTTTGTTGTTTGTTTGTTTGTTTGTTTGTTTGTTTGTTTGATTGTTTGTTTGTTGTTTGTTGCTTGTTGCTGTTGTTGTTCTTGCTTGTTGCTTGTTGCTTGTTGCTGGTTGTTTGTTTGTTGTTTGTTGTTTGTTTTGTTCCCTCCGAAGGGTGTCGCCGCGCTTTTGCAGATGCTTTCCCACCTGGTGTGGCGCGTTTTTGCCTCGTTTTCGACGACCTGCGATAAAAATCGGACGCACCCGCCAAAAGGGCGCTGAAGCACGGCCAAATGGCAAGAACGCCCGTTCAAGCGCACCCGCGCCGCACTGTATCCCTGCCAGCCAAATGGTAAGAACACCCGTTCAAGTGCACCCGCGCAGCACTGGA